CATGATTCATTCTGGGTAAATTGCTTGTTTCTAGGAATTTATCGATTTCTTTTAGGTTATCTACTTTATTGGCATATAATTGTTCATTGTAATCTCTTATGATCCTATGTATTTCCTTACTATCATTTGTAATGTGTCATCTTTTATTTCTGATTTTGTGTATTTGAGTCTTCTCTTTTTCTTAGCCTAGTTGAAGGCTTTGTTTATCAATTTCAACTTTTTTAAAAAGCCACCTTTTATGTTTATCAATCTTTCATCTTGTTTTTTCTGGTCTAATTTCATTTATTTACACTCTGAGCTATGTATTTCCTCCTTATTACTAACTCTGGGCTTGATTTTTCTTCTCTTTCTAGTTCCTTGAAGTTAAAGTTAGGTTATTTGAGATCTTTCTTTTCCCTTTATATATGTATTTATCATTATAAACTTCTCTTTCTGAACTGCTTATGCAGTACTTTATATGTTTTAGTGTTTATTTCCATTTTCATTTATTTCAACATATTTTTTGACTTCCCTTTGGATTTTTTTCTTTTACACTTTGGTTAGTCATAGGTGTGTTGTTTTGTTTTCACATATTTGTAAATTATCCAGCTTTCCTTTGGTTGACTTCTAATTTCATACCACTGGGTATGAAAAAAAGATACTTGATATGACTTCAGTCCTCTTACATATACCAAGGCTTGTTTTGTAGCCTATGATAGACATTTTTGTGATCTATCCTGGAGAATGTTCCATGTGTACTTGAGAGGAATAGATATTCTGCTGCTCTTGGATAGACTGTTCTGTATATGTCTTTTAGGTCCATTTAGCTGAAAGTATGACTTAACCCCAACATTTCCATGTTAATTTTCTGCCTGTATGATCTATCCATTGCTGAAAGTGGGGTATTGAATCCCCCCCTACTATTTTTGTGTTATTATTTCTACCTTCATATCAGTCAGTATTTAGGTGCTTTTTATGTACAGTGCTTATATAATTGTTATGTTTCCTTGATGAATCCACTCTTTATCATTATATAATGAAATTCTTTGTCTCCCATGAAAAGTTCTGTCTTAAAGACTATTTTATCTGATCTAAGTATAGATACACCCATTGTCTTTTGCACTGTATTTGCATGGAATATATTTTGCCATCCCCTCACTTTCAGTTCATATGTGTCTTTAAAACTGAAGTTTTAAGGCAAAATATTGTTGGGTCTTATTTTTTTGTTTGTTTTTATTTTTAATTGGAGGATAATTGCTTTACAATATTGTATTGATTTCTGTTATACAACATGAATCAGCTCTAAGTATGCATATAACAACTTCATCTTGAGCTGAAATGAGGTAGATGACCCTAGATCCTGTTATACATAGTGAAATAAGCCAAAAAGAGAAAAAAATATATCATATATTAATACATATATATAGAATCTAGAAAAATGTTACTAATGAACCTATTTGCAGGGCAGAAATAGAGTTGTAGATGTAGAGAATGAACTTGTGTACATAGTGGAGGAAGGAGAATGTGGGAAGAATTGAGAGAGTAGCATTGATATGTACACTACCATGGTTAAAAAAGATAGCTAAAAGGAAAAAGCTATGTAGCATAGGGTACTCTGCTCAATGCTCGGTGATGACCTAGAGGGCTGGGATGGAGGCAGAGGCTCGAGGGTCCTTTTTTCTTTTTTAAATTCATCTAGTCACTTGGATGTTTTGATTGAAGATTTCAATCCATTTACATTTAGAATAATTTTTGATATGTAGTGACTTACTAATACCATCTTATTAATTACATTATGACTTTTACATATTTCCGTTGTTCCTTTTCCCCTCTTGCTGCCTACTTTTATGGATGCTGATTTTCCCTGTGATATGCTGATTCTCTTTATCTTTTGTGAATTTATGATGGTTTAAATTTATAGTTACCATATAGCTTACATAAAACATACAATAGTCTATTTTATGCTGATAGAAACTTAACTTCAGTTTCAGACAAAAACTCTGCCCTTTAAATCCTCCATTTTATGTTTTTATCAGGACATTTTGCCTATTTTTGTAGTCTATATTTAAAACAGTAATTTTTAATGCCCCTTTCCTTTAGTCTTTATACTATATTTAAATGGCTAATATAACATACTATTATGGAATTAGAATTTTATTAAACTGACTGTATCAATGTGCTGAATATTTTTACATGTTTTCATGTTACTAATTCAGTTCAGTTCAGTTGAGTTGCTCAGTCATGTCCGATTCTGCAGCCCCATGGACTGCAGCACACCATGCTTCCCTGTCCATCACCAACTCCGGGATCTTGCTCAAACTCATGTCCATCAAGTTGGTGATGCCATCCAACCATCTCATCCTCTGTTGTCCCTCTCCTCCTGCCTTCAGTCTTTCCTAGCATCGGGGTCTTTTCCAATAAGTTGGTTCTTTGCTTAAGTTCGCTAAAGTATTGGAGCTTCAGCTTCAGCCTCAGTCATTCCATGAATATTGAGGACTGATTTTCCTTAAGATGGACTGGTTGGGTCTCCTTGCTGTCTAAGGGATTCCTGAACCATAGTTCAAAAGCATCAATTCTTTGGCACTCAGCTTTCTTTATGGTCCAACCCTCACATCCATACATGATTACTGGAAATACTGTAACTTAGATTATATGGACCTTTGTCAGCAAAATAATGTCTCTGCTTTTTTTTTTTTGATGATTTATCACATGGTAGAGTTTTATTCATAATTCACTTCTTTTTTTCTACATATTATCATTTTATCAGAGGCTCAGTCCCACATTTGATAATGTAGGAAATAGCAATTTTGTAAAACAGGTGAAATACAACTAACAGTGATATTCGTTTCCTTCCAAGGAGCAAGTGTCTTTTAATTTCATGGATTCAGTCACCATCCTTAGTGATTTTGGAGTTCAAAAAAATAAAGTCTCTCACTATTGCCATTGTTTCCCCATCTGTTTGCCCAGAAATGATGGGACCAGATGCCATGATCTTAATTTTTTGGATGTTGAGTTTTAAGCTAACTTTTTCACTCTCCTCTTTCACTTTCATCAAGAGGCTCTTTAGTTCTTCACTTTTTGACATAAGTGTGGTGTCATCTTAATATCTGAGCTTATTGATATTTCTCCCAGCAGTCTTGATTCCAGCTTGTGCTTCATCCAATCCAGCATTTCTCATACTGTACTCTGCATATAAGTTAAATAATCAGGGTGACGATATACATTCTTGATGTACTCCTTTCCCAATTTGGAATCAATCTGTTGTTCCATGTCCAGTTCTAACTGTTGCTTCTTGACCTGCATTCAGTAACCCAGGAGGCAGGTCAGGTGGTCTGGTATTCCCATCTCTTGAAGAATTTTCCAGCTTGTTGTGATCCATATAGTCAAAAACTTTATGCATAGTCAGTGAAGCAGAAGTATATGATTTTTCTGGAATTCTCTTACTTTTTCAGTGATCCAGTGGATGTTTGCAATTTGATCTCTGGTTCCTCTGCCTTTTCTAAATCCACCTTGAACATCTGGAAGTTCTCGGTTCACATACTGTTGAAGCCTCACTTGGAGAATTTTGAGCATTACTTTCCTAGCGTGTGAGATGAGTGCAATTGTGTGGTAGTTTGAACATTCTTTGACCTTTCTTTGGGCTTGGAATGAAAACTGGCCTTTTCCAGTCCTGTGGCCAGTGCTGAGTTTTCCAAATTTTCCAGCATGTGAGTGCAACACTTTCACAGCATCATCTTTAAGGATTTTAAATAGCTCAGCTGAAATTCCATCACCTTCACTAGTTTTGTTCATAGTGATGCTTCCTAATTAGTGTTCTGTCATTTCCTCTTTTTTTTTTTCTCAAAAGCTCTATTTACATTTATTGATTCAAGGTCCAATTATGCACCAAATACTGAACTGAACTGGCACAGCTACAGGCTGCAGATGCAAAGCAAAATGAATACACACACACTTTGACTCTACCTCTACAGAGAGATTTGATTCATGCCAAAACAGGGCAAGGGAGAGACAACACATGACTCTGCCCAGAAACTAAACTGGCAGAGATGGCAAGTTCGCAAACTGTTAAAATTTAAGTCACCCTCCTCCAAAAAAGGCACTTCTCAGTTATAAAAGTGCTTCAAACCTGAACATGAATCCTCTATGCCTGGCTTGTAATTTCTTCAAGAAAGCAAAAACTGCAAAGGATTGTAGCGGAGCTTAAGTATCAAATTTCCATGCAAAATAACCAAGAATTTATTTGAAACACCTTATGTTATGAGCTGAAATAAACTTGACAAATTCAATTATCCTGAGGTTTGATTCCATGAATTCAAAGATTGGCCTACTCCTGAAGCCTCCCCATCTCAATTTCCTAGGATGGCTTTTCTACATTGATTTCAAGCTTAGTACTGTCCTCGAACCTTCATATTGTGACCAGTGGGCCAGATGCACACGGCAGAGGAAATCAGCAGCAACTAAGTCTCAACTGTGACAACTTGAATCACAAGCAAAATACACGGAATATTCTCCTCAGAAGCCTCCAAAGTCATATACTCCACTTGCCAACAATCACCTAATTTTTCCACATGGTCTTACGACTTTTGTGCCTTGATTCTGCTAAAAATGTTGACAAACACTATATCAGAGCCAGTGTTTACAAGTGAGCAAGTTACAGGGATAGTCTCTGAAACTGGGTAGAGGTAGTTAATACTACCACTGTGTTTCTAAGTGCTTGGTTTTATGTGTGGATTCCAGGGCTATTTCAATGCCAATTAAATCCAACATGCTTTCATGAAACTGTCGTTTAAAAAGGATTCCGAAACTAAATGATGGAGGAGAATCATTGAAAGTAAGAGGACAGCACGGGGCGAGGGTGGGCAGAAAAGCAAAGGAGACACTGCAGGAGGGCAGAGGACAGCTGGCACTACACTTCTGGGATGCCCAGACACACGTGCGCATTTAATGACGACAACTTGATTTGCCTATAAGGCAGACTGAGCCTCAGAATTCTTAACCCGGTCCAGTGTTTACAAGTGAGCAAGTTACAGGGATAGTCTCTGAAACTGGGTAGAGGTAGTTAATACTACCACTGTGTTTCTAAGTGCTTGGTTTTATGTGTGGATTCCAGGGCTATTTCAACGCCAATTAAATCCAACATGCTTTCATGAAACTGTCGTTTAAAAAGGATTCCGAAACTAAATGATGGAGGAGAATCATTGAAAGTAAGAGGACAGCACGGGGCGAGGGTGGGCAGAAAAGCAAAGGAGACACTGCAGGAGGGCAGAGGACAGCTGGCACTACACTTCTGGGATGCCCAGACACACGTGCGCATTTAATGACGACAACTTGATTTGCCTATAAGGCAGACTGAGCCTCAGAATTCTTAACCCGGATTTCCATCACATGATAAAGCTGGAAACTTTAACAAGGAAGAGTTGCGAAGTGGAAGGCAGGTAGCGGATCTTCCAATTATTATCCTTGCATTTCAAACTCCTGTTTTAGACTTTTCAAGTAAGCATGCACGTTCCCAAAGCCATGGTACTTGGCTAAGTACACGAGCACCCCAGTCGCACACCGCCCATCTCGCTGCCGAGAGAAGCTGCAGTTGCAGATCCCTCGACATGGTGGGCAGTGCCAGTTTGGGTCTAGCAGAGCATCCCTGACTTCTTCACCATAACGGTTTCGAAGGCAGGGACCACAGAATTGGCCTCGAACGCCCCAGCACTCTGGGTTTCTGCAGTTTGTCTTGGTATCGACGGCACTGATGACAAGTTGACCCCAGTGAACGGTTATAGATCTTCTCTCGGGAGTTGTTGCAGATGTTCTCCAACTCTTCCTCCGTGATTTCATCCACCGGGCGAACGACATGAGGAAGGGTCATGGGTCCGGGGCGACGACTTCGGGGCATGTCATCTTCATTCATGTAGCCGACCATGGGCTTCCTCTTCCTCACCAACAAGTATTTGTCCTCCTCTTCCTCCTCCTCCTCCGTGGGCAGGGCCCTGAGTGACCCAAGGACCCGGGACCTGGACCTGGTGAGCGGACGAGCTCTCCGCTCAGGGTTTCTCCTGTAGGCGACACCTGGAAACGTGCGCCTCCTGGGTGTCTTTGGATGTGAACTGGGGCCCGGCAGGGAACGCCTCCCAGGGAAGGAGCCAGGGAAGCTTTCTAATTCTGACATTAGTTTTGCAAGCATTGCTTTGTTTTGCTTTATATTTAAAGCCCTTTTCTCCAAGAAATTCATGCCACTTTCATCTTCCGAGTCAGAATTGGAGTCGGTCACAGAATTCTCCGGGGGCCCAGGGGGCACGGTTCTTTTGCTGGCTGCTCCCCTGGTGCGTCGTGTGGGAAACTTCATGGCCACGCGGAGGGGTCCAGACCGTGTGCCCTGACTGCGGGTCCGACAGCCCTCACGGTCCACCTGCAGCCTTGTGTTTGCAAAATTATCAGAAGCAAAGCTGCCACAACTGTCATCAGAGGATGACGGGGTTTCCATGGAAATCAACTTCACATATCTGAATTTCTTGAAGTTCTTCTTTGCTCTGCAATCCTTTTGCTTTTTTGGCCGAGGATTCCACCTCCTACTTCAGTCAGAAAAAAGAAGCAGTTTCTTGCCTAGGTCCCACCAACAAACACCTCTGCAGTTTCATCTGTTCTCAATTTACCTCCCTTTCTTCTCTTGTTCAAGATTATTTTTCCCTGTCTCTGGTTTTGATCAGTGTTCTCTGTCATTTCCTCTTGAAGAACTCCTTTTAGCATTTCTGGTAAAGTGAATCATGGTGCTAAATTCCTTCAGCTTTGTGTGGGAAAGTCGTTATGTCCTCTTTATTTCTGAAGAGTAATTTTGCCAAAGGTTGGTATTATCTACAGTATAATAAAATAAACTTTCCTAAAACATTTAATTCAGTAATAAATTGTTTATCTTCCTGAATTCATACCTTTAACTGCCCATTCTGTACTTCTTCCCCTCTTCCTCCTCTCTCTCCTGCTTTTCCTCTTCCTCCTGCTCTTTTTCTTCTTTACTTTTGTGGCCTTAAACATATGGATTCCCTTTTGTGCTGGGAATTTATTTTATTGCTTTTCAGTATCTTTTTTCATTACCAAAATTGTGATGCCATCCTGCACAAAATCGACCTATCTAGAACAATGAATATAAAAAAGCAAAAACATTAAATTTGTCATTGAATTCACAATGAATTGAACTGATCAATTAAATTGATTACTTCTCAATTCAAGCATTTCATTTTGATAATTTTCATTTGAATTAATAAGTTCTTACTTTGAATTAACATTATTTTGGTCATAATTTGAACTAAAAAGCTCTCATATTTCATGAAATTACTTTGGTGAACATTTGCTCCTGTATTCAAATGTTACATGGGTAGGAGAATGTCATTTCAGTTTGGAGTTTTAGTTCAGACACAGTTTGTTCCCAACACCACTCTTAATTGTGTCTGTGGGACAATGTCCCTAATGCACCAAAAGTTTCCCATTCCACTGATCTCTCATTCCAACTTTAAATTGCTTTGGGAACAGGGGAACAATTACAACTGTTGCATAACAAATATTTATTCTTCCACATCTGAGGAACCAAACATTGTTTGTTGAACCTGATCTTAATTCAGAATGCTGACAGTAAGTACTGACAAGAAATGTAGCAAGTTCTTTTAGGCGGTAGAAATAATTTATCAATAATAATGGTAAATCTTGATTGTCATGGCACTGTATCTTTTCAGTCTATAGTTAAAGCTATCATTAAGTGGTAATTTGTAATGTGAATAGCCTGATGAAACACAGGTATCAGTTTATCACTAAAATACAGCTGTGAATCATTATGACTATCATTATTTCATTATTATTTGTATACTCTGTTAATCCTTAATTTCCATAGGCTATCTCATTATTTCCTAAAAACATTCCTCTAAGGAATGTAAGGCAAATATTTTTATCATTTTACAAATGAGAAGACAGCTATTAATTAGAGTCAGAGTACCTCAAACCAAAGACTTTGATTCTAATCTGAGATGCTTTTCCACTGTAAAAACCCATGTCATATGTATTTTTTTAAATATTAAATGATCCTCTGTACTTACAATGGGTAAATGGTAATAGTTTATATAAGATGGCTGTTTGTTAGTATTGACTGAAAAATAGTTTAAAAAGCTAAAACCTGATGTTGATGAACAAATGTGACATGTTAACGTTTTCCTGATCATTAATTCACAAATACTGCTTGAGTCTAGAAAATAAGCCTTTACCAATTCAGTCAGAACCCATCTATTATATGCTGCCACAGTATTAGACTTAGGTATAGAAGGATGAACAAGACAAATAAACTCCTTCCCCCATGTCTCTCGTTACCTCACAATATAACAACATAAACAGTTTAAAGTGCTGGGAGCAGAAGTAAAGCAAAGGTAGCAAAACAAGCCTAGTTCAAGGCGTATTTGACTTAGTGAGAGATTCTGCCTAGGATGGAAAGGTTTGGAACAGTTGGCTGGAAGAAGCAGTTTAGATAGCCTCAGATGCATTGTCATCGCAATTGTTTGGAAGAGGAAGACAACAGTCGCTGCAGTCCGGGGGATTCAACGAGCCTGGTTAAAACATCTTCATGTATCCTGGTAAATCTTGCCGTCATTTCTATTAGTGATTGGTCTGATCAGGGTGCTCATGTCCCTTATCCAGTGCATCCTCTCACCAATTTCTGAGCCTCATTGGGGAGAATTTTGACTTGTCATGTGAAGTAGTATAGGATAAGTGTTGGATCTTTGCCTCCTTGTTCTTGGCACTATTGAATGAAGGTCAGTTTGACTTTGTGACCTTGACTCTTCTAAGGTTCTCACTAACAACAGCCTGCTGTTGACACATGATTTTATACAAATTTTAATGCTACCAGTTAGGCAAAATTGTAATGTGAAGATAATGAACTATAAATATTGCTTGTTCCTGATTTTAGTCATGTGACATTAGCCAAGTGAACTAATTTCAAGCCTAAAATATGACACACAAGATCCTGAAGTAAGAAATTGTTGCATAAATGAAATGAAGGTTTTGTCCTCCTCTTTCTCTTCTTTAAGGAAAATTCTTTCCTTAAGCTTCACAATGTCATTTGGGCTAAAGTTTTCATCTCCAAAATTGAGATTTTTATATTCCCTTATTGTCTTTCTCTTCAAAGTTGTGATATTTCTGTTGTGTATTCTTAATTAAATTGTTCCTTAGTATGACTCCCTCTGTTGATTGGATTTCTGATTCTAAGTAAGATCTGCTATATAGTGATTTCCCCAGCTCCTCTCACATGGGAAACTAAGTGACAGAGTAGGCGAAAGCGGGCCACGCTGAAATCCTCGCATCTGCTGCCACGTGAGGACTAAGTTGGCGATTCTGCCCAATGTCCAATATGGTGGTGGTTATGGAAAGATCAGTTTTCACATCCAATAATGTGACAAACACATTAATCTAAATGTCTTAATGCCTTTTATTATGTTTCTGCTAAAAGTCTCATAAAACCCTACCATGTGATGACCCATGTGTATACTAAAAGTAGTGGTGCTGTGAACTACACTTGATCTGAGCTTTGAGCTCCACTTTACTATTTACTATGTGGTCAACCTTGGAAAAATTCCACTTTTTAATATTTGAAAAATGGGGATAGTATAAACAGTGATTATATTCTGTTAAACATAAAATAGTACATATACCCATGTATGCCTATTTATAAAAAATATTTAAACCTTTTTGCTGTGTTTTCTTAGGTTGACTTAAGTGAGTAAATTATGAAGATACACTCTGAAGCCACAGAGTAAAAATAAGTGAAGAGACTATGTAATGTTCTCCAAAGGTTGTCTGTAACATTCGCGTGGAGCTGGTGTATGCAGTGGTCTTGTCATAGGAACAGCCATACAAGAAACTAAGAGGAGCTGGAATATGAAATCAACAGATATCTGTGTTTAAACAGATGTTAAATTTCAGTTTATGCTATTCAATTTATTATTACTAATTATCTATAAAACAATTAAGTTGACTAATATATACTATGCAGTGTCAGGCATAGAAAGATGTATGCCCCCCCCAAAATCAGAGTCTCTGTGAATTTTGACCATTGTGAATTGCAATTTAAAATTTCCAGTCCTATTGAGTGCTTTTTTGCCATTTCCACTCTTTACTTTCTAGGACAGATGAAGTCAGGCTTATAATTACTAATTAGTCGGGAGTTTTAGAAACCTCAACCCAGGAACATGTCCTCAACAGGAAAAGTTACTTCTATATGTTTCTTTATTCATAGGTAGATCTTCACATAGTGGCAATAGCATAGATACTTTAATCATTTCCAGTTTTATTGTATTTTGTTGATACACATTGTTGAAGATAACTGGATGTCAGGGCTTCAAGTAAACACTCCTTATAATACATTCTTTAAAAATTAATTGCTCAGGTAATGTGTAACATGTAACACTTGTTTCCTGGCAGTGAACATATCTTATATGAGGTCTTCCTTTGACATCCTGAAAGCAGAGGACATGGAGAAAATTAACCAGACGTTTGTGCTAGGATTTATTCTTCTGGGTCTTTCTGAATACCCAAAGATTGAGATTGTTTACTTTGTTGTAATTCTAAGTATGTACCTAGTCATTCTGATTGGCAATGGTGTTCTGATCACCGCAAGCATTTTTGATTCCCATCTTCACTCCCCCATGTACTTCTTCCTGGGAAACCTCTCTTTTCTGGATATCTGCTATACATCTTCCTCTGTTCCTTCAACTTTGGTGAGCTTAATCTCAAAGAAAAGGAGCATTTCCTTCTCTGGATGTGCATTGCAGATGTTCTTAGGATTTGCAATGGGGTCAACAGAGTGTTTCCTCCTTGGCATGATGGCTTTTGACCGCTATGTGGCCATCTGTAACCCTCTGAGATACCCTGTCATCATGAGCAGGGTGGTGTGTGTCCTGATGGCTTCTGTGTCATGGCTCTCTGGCGGAATCAACTCAATTGTGCAAACATCTCTTGCCATGCGATTGCCTTTCTGTGAGAACAATGTAATCAATCATTTCACATGTGAAATATTAGCTGTTCTCAAGCTAGCTTGTACTGATATATCTCTCAATATTGTCACCATGATGGTATCAAATATGGCATTTCTAGTTCTTCCACTGCTGGTCATTTTTTTCTCCTACATGTTCATCCTCTATACCATCTTGAGAATGAACTCAGCTACAGGGAGACATAAGGCCTTTTCTACCTGCTCAGCACATCTGACTGTGGTAATTCTATTTTATGGTACCATCTTCTTTATGTATGCCAAACCCAAGACTCAAGAACTGCATGGAGAAAACAAGTTGAAAGCTTCTGACAAGCTCATTTCTCTGTTTTATGGTGTAGTTACTCCCATGCTAAATCCTATAATCTACAGCTTGAGGAATAAGGATGTAAAAGCTGCTGTAAAATATTTGTTAAACAAAAAACCTATCCAATAAGTATTTCAAAAAATGTAGATCTTTGTGTAATAGACACAAAGATGGACTTCTAGGTAAATAAATATGA